GTCTCACTTTTTTTATTCCGACAATAGATGTGTGTGGAAAACCTATGCATGAGTTGAGATTTACCGATTTTGTCAAATTTTGTGACTGTTTCCATCAAAATTTCGAACTTCGAACATTTTTTATAATTTTTTGAAATTTTCAGTTTATGTCATTTTTTGTACACATTTTTTGTATTTTTGTTACTACGCCTGAAAAAATCTAAAACTAGTTGAATAACTTCAAATCACATAGTTAAAAAGAAAAAAAATAGTGTTGTTCATGCAAAAACCGGTCATAACGGAAGAAATTTTTCAAAGTGCACGCTCTCCCACAGAACATTTCCGAACTGCAAATTAATTTTTGATCTACAGAAAAAAAGTTTGGCGCGATCACAATTGCAGGTCTAAAACCATAATTTCAGAATTTTTTATCTGATTTTGTGGAGTTCCAAGATGATTCAAATGATTCTTTAAAAATTAATTAGTGGTTATAGATTCATGTATGGTCCTTTTCCGGAAGAAAAAACGTCAAAAATGGTCATTTTTGAAAGTTTTTTACAGAAAAAATCTATCTCCTGTTTCAGTTTTTGACATTTCTAGGAGTTCTATAGCTCAAAAAAACCGCAATTATTTTCTCTACATTTTCTATGGATGAATTTTTAATTCGTCTGATAAAACTTTTTTTACAATTCAAAAACCTCATGAAATTGCACAAAATAGCATTTTTGCTTTCAAAAATGACCATTTTTGACATTTTTTCTTCCGGAAAAGGACCATACATGAATCTATAACCACTAATTAATTTTTAAAGAATCATTTGAATCATCTTGGAACTCCACAAAATCAGATAAAAAATTCTGAAATTATGTTTTTAGACCTGCAATTGTGATCGCGCCAAACTTTTTTTCTGTAGATCAAAAATTAATTTGCAGTTCGGAAATATTCTGTGGGAGAGCGTGAAGTGATGAATTTTTGTGGAAACAAGCGCAAAGTGCGAAATTTTTATAGAAACATCCGAAAAACTTGAAAAACTTGGTAAATCTTAACTTAGTCCACATTTTTCCACTTGGGCCCTCCTTTTCACTCGGGCCCCCCTTTTCCCATGGGCCCCCCTTTTCTCATGCCCCCCCCCCTTGTCATAAAGAGCCGCCCATCCTATATGTGCATATTGAGCTCAATTATCTCGGATCCTGTGAGAGTTGTCAAAAATGTGTCAATTGATAAAATATTTATCTGAATATCACCAATATTTCATCAATTAACAGATGTTTGATATCTCTTATAGGATCCGAGATAATTGGGCTCAAAGTGAACGTATACAACGGTGGGCTTCTAACAGAGAAAATATTGTATTTTTATTATGGCTCACTTATATTTGTTCGGCGTAGTGATTGAGATTGAATACTCAACATCAAATTCATATGCTCTCAAAAGAGTCACCTCTTCAACTTCTGGAGGTTTTTCGTTCTTCAACTCTTCTTTCCACTTCTTCGTGTACCATTCAAATCGATCCATCCCATCTATTTTATAGTTTGGAAACTCTAGAAAAGTTATATTTTCCTATTGGAACTATCGTTTTGATACCTTTGGGATTCAGAGAATCTCTTGTCACCACAACATTTGAAGATGATTGAGTTGGAAGGTTGATAGGAGTCGCATTGAAACTGTAGAGAATCACAAGAGTAAAAATGAAAACTGCTATCAAAGAGATTCTAAAACTCTTTGGGTCCATCTACAACTCTGAAAATAATACGATACTGGAGAGTGGGTGAAGAAATTCTGGAGGAAGAGAAAATCAACAATCGATGGCAAAAAACGAATCAAAAGAGCAAATATAGAGGAGAAGAGTAATAAAAAGATTGGAAAATGTGACGAGGATCTATTGATTCTAAAATGGCATTCTAAACACGTTTCAATGATCAGTTCCAGTTTTAAGGGTCACTGTGACTGAAAATGAGGTAAAAAAACTTCTGGAACAACTATTTCTGATTGAGGAATCTGAAAAAATACAGTGCTTTTGTGTTTGCTCCTATCCAGAATTATTCCAAGATATCAAAAATCCTAATTACTTGGGATTTCATTTCATACGATCAGTGACACTTGAAACTAGAGAAGGTCCCCCTATTTTTTGAGCTATTCATCACTTGAAGCACCTCTTCAAAACACTACATAAATCTCGAAAAATATAGAAAGGTCAGTCGTGAGATAAATCTTTTTGAGTGGAAAGAACAGGAACGAAAAAGAAATATACACTTGCATTTGAAATATAGCAGAGCCGATTCTTCTTTTTGTGACATAGAAACGGGAAAACATGGAAACGTAAAAGACGGAATAAATAAAAAAGAAGACGAAGGAGGAGGAGAGCTTTTGAGAAGGTGAGATGAATAAATAACAATATAGTTCAGCATTATTCCGAAGAACATGTTCTCACACAATCAGTTTAAGGAATTGTGATTTTGAGAAAGTTATGATAGTGAATTAATTGTTTTCGAATGTTGGTACTGTTTCTTATAAATTTGAAAACTATATTTGTAAAAATCAAATTACAATAGTCGTATTGATTTGGACGTTTGACTTTCTCTGCTTACACATGTTTCATAATTATCATTGTACTGAATAATGATGATACTCCACCCTTCAGTCCTCTTTGCTTATCATTTTTGACACAATTGCACTGTTATGGGAGGAGTACAAAGTTGAAGTAGTGTTTAGAGAAACTGAATTTTTATTGAATCAACGTTTTTCTTTTTGAAACCTTGAAAAACAACAGAAAACATTTTCGGCTTCAACTTTATGCGGTCGCGTTGAAAACTGTTATGAATCATTTTTGGCTACAGTGTCATATAAAATGTTACAAAACGTTCTGCAATAATTTTGAATGTTGTTTTTCTAAGCGGACGGCTTTAATCCTTTGCCAATTCTTATCGTCGTGTTACATAGAAATTGTTGAAGTTTTACTATTTTATATTATTGAGAAAAAACGAGATTATCATTACAATTAAAAAAAACCATTAAAATTTATAAAATTAATTTTTAAAATATAATTGTTGTCATTTTTCAATAAAATGTTACTGTTCTGTTGATATAAACATTTTTCAGTTTTTTTCAAAAATTTACTGGATCATAAATACATAATTGAAATTAAATATCGAGAATCTTTCAGGGGGAAACTGATATTTTCATTCTCTTTGAGATCAAGTAGCTGGATCAAGAAGTTTATTACGATAACATCATTGTTTCAATCAATGATCATTCTTATCTTCCTTATATATAAAACGCTACACGCGTCTGTTGGTCCCCATGTCAGGCTGTCATCTTTTGAAATGCTTGAAAAATAATTTTAAATTGACGTGACACTTTACGAAAAAATGAGGAGCTGAGCGGCATACTAGTAACAAACTAGATTAAATTGCGCCGAAGGCGCACCAGCTTGCTGGTAATAAATAAATGAAGTCGCTTTATTTCTCGCTTTCTCTGTCAGTTTGTCCGAACACGTTGAAAAACTTGAAATAAAATATAAGTTGACGTGAACCTTTGAGTAAGACAGAGGAGCGAAGCGACGAACAGTAAAAAATATAGGTTAAATTGCGCCGAAGGCGCACCAGCCAGCTGTTTGAAGCGCCGGAGGCGCGGCAAACGGACTGGCAACAACAAAATCATGAATCCAAACTGGAATATTTCAATATCTTTTAAACTCTGTTCCCTTTAACTTTAGATATTTTCCTGGGACATGTTGTTTTGTTGTTTATGTCAGCGCGAGATTGAATAAAACCGAACGGTTGTTCTTCTTCCGTTTGGTTTTAATCCACTTGTCATCGTTTTTATGGTGACACGACTTAGTGTCAAATATGGGTAAGCATCGGGTCGTCCTCCTATGCTTCTTCTTCTCGATTCGTGTTTGTATTTCGATCGTCTTGTCTACTCTCGCGCCCTGAGTCCTGATTGAGCTCCCCTGTTGTTCTCCTCCCTTGCTCGATTATTTGTACGGTTTCGCGGCTTCCGCGCGGAGAGAGAAAAGGGTAGATACATTACACACACTTTTGAATAGACCGCCACCTCGTGTGCTCTTCTCCATCTGAGCACAGAGACAACGGCAACTCTGCCAGTTTTCCATTTTTTACCATTCTTGTCTAATGTTGCTATGGAACAACTTGCTATCCGTGCTCAATGCACTGGTTTATAGTGTCGAAAATCTGGATGGATTCGAGGTAGGATGGAAACTATCTAGTTTGATTTTTAAAATCTGAAAAATTATTGTATGGTGGCGACAGTACGTCTCTTCAAAACTCAAACATTCGCATTGAATCTAAAAATTCAGCCTTGTTCCCTACGTTTTATCTAAATTTATTTTCAACGGAAAAAAAGAAAAACTATTTTCAGAATGGTCTTCTCGATGACGCCTCGATCATCAATACAACATTTGTGGGAGACTCCGAAGTTCATCAATACAACCAGGGAACGGAAGGTGAGACATTTATGAATATTCGGAGATAACCAAGGTGATCCTGGAAATCTCCGATAACACAGATGTTAGATGTCGAGTGGCGTTGATCTTCGCTAAATATGCAAAACCTGTTAGCAAGAAAACGTCTATCAAAATTTAGAAGGGCTTGTTAGTTCAAAAAATCATGTTGTTATCTTTCAAAATCACCTTCAAACTCTCTCTTTTTTGCAACGCGTGTATTTCGTAGTGGAAAAGTGAGATTATCGTATTCTACCGTTTCATTAGCACATATTCAAATTTTATTGTGTTTTGAATGAAGAGAGAGGAAGGAAATGAGAAGGTTGAGATAACATTCGGGCGGAAGGAGAAGGGTATAAAAGAAACGGTAGATGACGTTTCGAAATAGAATCTCCTCGTTATCATGACTCGCATCAGGCTTGTCATTCTGGCAGTGTCTGTCTTCCTAGCACGTAAGATTTTCTAGAGTTTCTAGTCTTTGTAAGGAATATTCTTGAAGTAAATTTAATTTCTAGACAATTCAATTGTAACGGCGATCGATTATGGAAGTGCAAGCGCGTGTCCCAAAGCTGCCAAATACGGAACGGGACCTCCAGAATCATGCACTGAACCAACTGATCCCAACAATATGCCTGCATCAGAACTAGAATCTTGGTTTACAAAGGAAATGTTTGAAGATCTATTTCCATTCGCAAATCTTGGATGGGGACCAGTCAGCTGTTGGCCATATTCTTATGAGGCTTTCAAGATTGCTTCGAGATATTTTCCAGAGTTTGGAACATCAATTAATGTGACTAATACGGTAGAGGATTATTTTTTGAACCGGACAACTTTTAAAACTTTTTCAGGTGTATACTGCTGATGAGAACAAGAAACGAGACTTGGCAGCTTTCTTTGCCCATGCGGTTCAAGAAACTGGAGAGAATAATATTGCTCTTTACGAGTATGTTTTGTATATCGTAGTTAATTTTTCATCAGTTTTATCTTACAGCACACTTTCTGATCAAGATGCTTCGAATTGCTTCTATCGTGGAGGTTTCTACAATTGGTTTGAAGGTGGACCAACCAGCAGTTTCTTGGATCCAAAAACTCCCGGATACACTCCAGCCGATGGAAGCTCATGTGCTTCTGCTGGTCAATATTGCTCAGCTTCCTCACAAATTACCTATTTCTATCCATGCTCAAATGAAACAGTTGAGAACACTGCAGCCCCATACAAAGGATGCTATTTCGGTCGTGGTGCCATTCAGATCTCATACAACTATAACTACGGACAGTTCCAAGATTGGTTGAAATCGGTGAACATCGATGTGGATTTGTTGAATGAACCCAATCTGGTGATGACTAAAATGGATCCACCACTTGCTGTTTTGGCTTCCTTGTGGTTTTATATGACTCCACAACCTCCGAAGCCCGCTATGCATGATATTGTGATGGGCAACTGGAACAGTGGAGCCAAGAATCAAGTTGCTGGATACACTGGGCCAATCTTTGGACCCACTTCTCTTATCATTAACAATGAGTGCTCAGGAGAAGATCCAACAAATCCAGGAGGACCAGGAGAGTCCAGAAGAATCAAGGCATTCAAATGGTTCTGTGGATACTTCGACGCTCCAACTGGACCGGAAGAAACTCTTTCATGCAAAAGTAAGAGTGTTTTTGCAAATGAAAATCTAATAATTGCTATTTCAGATATGCCAGTTCCATTAGACCAGATATTCTATAACCTGAGTTTTCAACCAGATTGGTCTTCCACTTGGAAAGAAGTTCCATGCACATGTGCTCCTGCCAGTTATGGAGGACTCATCTTCTACTATGACCCAGATTATTATCCAGACAGTTTTGTTGCTCAAAATGACTATAATCGTCTGAAATGCATTGCGAGTATCTACGCGAATCCATCCATGTACTCCATGGATAACAAAACATCTCCATGCCTCAACTATTGATTTCCTCTCAATCAATTCCTCGTGATTTTACCTTTCTTATACATTCCATCATCTAGTATTACTCTGTTTCTTTGTATTTATTTTCTGACTAATAAAGTGTCTATTCTAACCTGTATAGGTTCTCTTCTTAGTCTTTGAAGTGGTGCACACTTAAAATGAAACTGAATATTCTTGAAAAAAAAGCAAACATCTCCAAACTAGAAAACAAAAAACATTCTTGAATGTCTTGGTCCCCTATTGGCCGTCCAATTCGTGTTGGGTTATTCGAACACGATCCAGATGCATTCAACTGTTTTCGTCAAATGCCGAAGAAGCCATGCGCTAAGCCAGGAGCGGAAATTGAAATTATTTCAATGGTTATGAAGATTCTCGATTGGCAGTGGGAAACTGTAAGTGCCTTATCATTTCGAACTCTTGTTAAAAGTATGTTTTCAGATAGATACAGAAAAAGAGTTCAACGTTGTAAACGACTTTGGGAATCCAAAACCAGATGGAAATTTTTCTGGAATAATGGGGTTACTAGCAGAAGATAAAATCGACATGAGTGGACTCTCCATGCGAATCACTCCTGCTCGTATGCAATTCGCTCACTTCACTTTTCCTATCCGTTACTTTCAACAAGTTTATATTATCAAACGACCGCCTGAAAATGATTTTCGAAACTTTGTATTTGCACCATTCACAACAGACATGTGGCTTCTGCTTCTAGCAACTATTATGGGTGTTTCAACAATGAGATTCGCATGTGCATTGTACTGGGATAGCCGAGTTGGATCTAAGTTTAATATCTACACAAGCAGTGTTCTGGTGAGTTGAATTTTGTTATCACCTACCATAAAATCGGTTTTTAGGAAACGTTTGGCTTAATGTTGAAACAACGTGTTCAAGATCCCACAGCTATATCCACCATGTTACTGGAAGGATTTCTGATTGTTGCAATGATGAGTATCGCCCAATACTATCAGACATCAATGAATTCTCGTCTAACCGCTCCTCCGTCCTCTCGAATTCCCTTTTATCATCAAAATCAATTGATCGAACTGTTGTTAGATAAGGAAACTTATTTGACCTACTACTTCAATCTCAGTCTAGAAGGATCGACGGAGAAGAACGAGTACAATATAAAACGTGCAATGGCTATCAATCCGATTGTGGTTCGAGCGAAAGAAGTTGATTTAATAAAAGAGGTTCAGTAAGTAATTCAGAAGTTGAAGCATAACACTCTACATAGAAGGATTTTCGCAGTAAAGGGGGAGTTTTCTACTCAACCTATGATATCGAGTTCCTTCCTCAAGCAGTCAGTGTCTGGGATAAGCGACAAGGGTTGACCGTTATCCGAGATACAACTGGAATTATTAGCTACGTGGCGTTTGGATTCAGTATCAGCAACAGAAAGTTATGCCAAATGTGAGGACAGAACAATACGATAATTGAACCCTTCTCAAATTCATTTTGTAGGTTCAACAAAGCTCTTCTGAAAATTCTACCTGGAATAGCAAGTATCACTTTGGGACCTGGATATGGAACCAAAAAACAAGCGGAAGATATCACAGTTCAAGTCAAAAAGACAAGACTTTCGTTCAAGAAGCATCTGGAGCAGTTGTTTTATATTTATCTGATTGGATGTGGAATCTCTTTAGCACTATTCATCCTTGAGAAAATCTTCTACAGAGTTAAAGTCATCAATAGACAGAAGGTTTTGTTTTCTTGAAAAGTTCCAAAACTAAGATGGGTTATATTTCAGATTTACCAAGTGAATCGACAAGAATCCGATGTGACGCCTGAATGTACATTTACTCCTTTACCGTATTGAATCCGCCCCCTTCTTCCTATTCTAAAAAGTGGATCGAATATAAATTGTTTCCTCTCATCAAACTTTTTTCTACATTAAGCAAAATAATTAATTTTATCTTCAGAAATTCGAATGTGAAATTTAAAGCATTGTGGTAACTATTCTTGTAACAACTTGATTTGGTTTTCTGTTTTTTAGAGTGTCAATGAAATTCTTCCGATTTGTAGGATCCAATAAAAAATATACAATGAAATTGAAACAAGTGCATCCATACAAATTGAACAGACTTAATAGTGATTGTATTTCATGTGATTGCTGAGAAATCGTCTGTAATTTAAGTTTTGTGATATCAATCAAAAATAAATACAACTAACTGGTTTCAACTTTGTGTACCAGTCGTTGTAGATATAATTGGCTGTCAAAAGAAGTGAAACCACCAAAGAATTGATGACCAAACTGTTTTCTCCTTTGCTTGTAGCCATTTTGTTTTTTCGTTTTCTAAACTTTAAAATCAAAACAACCAGGATATTCACAAAAACTGAAGACCATGGCAAAAGTATATGTATGAATTTACTGATGTACGAATTCTGGAAATTTTTAACCTCTTTTTGTTTATTTTTCTGAAAATTAGGTTACAATCTTCATTCGAAATGCGTGTTTCTCCTTATCCTCACAAACTGCCATCACCTGAAATTGAATCAAATCCATTTTGAAGTAACAATCATCCGGAACAATTATGATCATTTGACGAAAAAATAGAATTGCCTGAACAAAAGCATTGATTAGATATAATTTTAAAACTAGGTCTTTACCCATCCAACAACCATGTAAATTTTCAACCGTTTCGTACTAAAAGCCTCGGATCCAATTGGAATCAACACCACCCAAAGACGATTTACTGCCATTAGAATGGCAATGAAAAATTTTGCTTGATACGCCATCTGACTGAATATTTCAAAGAATTTTACTGTTCGGAAGGAATAAAAATTGGGATCTTGCGGGAAAAAATAGGGAAACTCGATGAGAATATTCTGCGAGAGATTCGTGAGAAGTTCGGAGATGATCATATTTATCATGTAAACTCGCGAGTGAACGACTGAAACGTTCGTCTATCATAAATTCTGATTGAAATGTTGAATACCTCTCTTACGTTTAAGCATGATGATCAAAACTATGTTGAAACAGTATACAAATATGTGTAATAGAATTGCTAGCGCTGGACCTTGCCAAATCATTCTTCAGAATACCAAGAATCAAATTTGAATGAATAAATAAAGAAAAAGAGAGACAGGGAATATATATGACCATTGAAAAAAACAAGAAGATAGATTTTATGATGATAACTATAATTGAAGGGTTGGTGGAATAAGGAAGAATTCAGGTGGGGCGGATTTTCTTCGGTTTCAACCATTTCGGGTCACAGAAAATGGCACGAAAGACGAGGTGGCGATTGGCTTTATGAAAAACAAAATATATTAAAAAGTTTATGTAGTTGGATGAGTAGATGTTAAACCATCCGAGTAAGATTTGGACGTTTTTGGGGAGAAACTTGAATTGCTGAAATTGGTGAAGGTAAGCTGAAGACGATCTAGTTGAACTTACCGGCTCAAAAGACCTCCTGAAAGAAGTGTAAGCAGCGTCGTAGATCATTACAAGGAATATAATGAAAGATTGGATTACGAAGTATGTTTGCAGGCGAGAACGACGATTGGCTGCGACGACAGACACCCGAGCGACGGCTGTAATTTTTTTTGCGTCATGAAATTATTCTATTATATATTTTTATCAATTTTCGGGATGTTATAGGTTCCTTATGGGTGTTCCCAGGATAAAGGAAAATAGATGTTTGGGAGAAAGTATCCAAGGGGACATTGAAAAAAGGGTACTAGCTTTTAGAGAGGGCTTTTAGAGGAGAGGTAACATGAGATTTCGTGGTACATGTGGGAAAACAAAAAGGAACAAATTATTTTGAACAGACTATTTCGCTTTTTTCTCACATTTATAGGCTTACGATGAACGCCCTACACCCAATATTCCATGTGCATGGAACCAGTGTACCCTTAAAACTTGATGTACCCTCGATGTACCCTTTTTCGATGTACAGTGGCGAATGTTAGTGAGTGTCACTCTATACTTTTGCTCATAACTTTGCTCAAACTTGCCCAATAATCGAAAACTTTTTTGTTAAATGTAGCTGAGTTTCCAACAAAACGCGATATAAGAAAAAAAATTTTGTCAGAATTTGCCGGTTTCGGGGAATGAGAACTTCCTTGTAAAACACTCACCAACTTTGAAAAATCCACAGCGTCGAAGTTTCGCATACACAACCTTCAGAATGTTCATGATCAAAGTCAGAACCAGAAGATAGTGAGATTTGTAGACAAAGTCTGGCTGAAGATAGTTGTGTATTAAATAAGGGTATAATTTAAATATAGCCCCCCCCCCCACCTTATAAACAACTATAGTAGAGCCCCCACCAGTACAAAAATGGGGGGGGGGGCTGTACTTGAATTGGTTGGTTAAAGTATGACCCCCCCCCCCCCCCCCCCACCAGTACAAAGTGGGGGCCTATACTTGAAGAACCTTGTATTCTTAAAATAAGACCCCCACCCCTCCCTGCCTTCTTCAATTAAAGGCCCCCAACCATTCAAAAATAACCCCCCAAAAAGGGAACCTTATCTGAGCCCCCACTCAATTCAAAAATGACCCCTCACCAATTCAAAAATAGCCCCCCACTCAATTCAAAAATGACCCCCCACCCGTTCAATTTTAGACCCCCACCAATTCAGAAATAGCTCCCCACTTATTCAATTTTAGACCCCCAACAATTTAAAAATAGCTCTCACCATTTTTTGGCCAAGCCTGAATTTTAGAATTTTCAATTTTCAATTTTCATTTTATTTCATTTTCTGAATAAATTTTTAGCGACAGTTTCCAGAAACAACAAGAAAAGGTGAAAAATAGGACAAAACCCAAAAAGAAAACAAAGAAAATGATAACAAAACGCTCAAAATTTGCATCATGAAGGCTACGGTACCCTTCATACACCACAAACCACGCAAAAGTGGGGGGGGGGGCTATATTTGAATTGGTGGAGGCGCACACCACAAACCACGCAAAAGTGGGAGTCTATATTTGAATGGGTGGAGGACTATATTTAAATTGGAATAGACCCTGTAAAAGTGGGGGTCTATATTTGAATTGGTGGGGGTTTATTTTGAATTGGAACAGACCCTTACTCAACTATAGTTCATTTTGGGGGGCTATACACTTGAATAGGGGTGGGGCTATATTTGAATTCTGCCTAAATAAGTTATTGCACATAACATACCCATTGAAAATATTCACAGTCGGTATTCAACACAAAAGTGTCCGTGTTGAAATGAGGAAAGCATCCGAGAAGAAGAAGATACCAGGATCCAAGAAACGACAACATCCAAATTCCGATTCCAAAGAAAGTGATGGTATCCGGTTGAAAAAATTTATGAAACTTTGGATTAACCATACAAATGAATCTGTTTACAGCCATCAGAAAAGTCATAGTGTATCTGATAGTGTTAACAGTCCACATTTGGATGCTCATGAATAGGATGCACACCAGTTTGAAAACGTAGACCGCTGACTGATCATCCGTCATAAGCACATATTCCACAGAGAAATGCTGACATACATTTAGCAAAATTTCCACCCAAATCATATGAGTAATGTACGCTTTTGATTTGATAACTGAAATATTCAGTTTTTTTTTTTGGTTTTTCAATACTTAAATTCGTTTACACTTATTTTTAGATACCACATAAAGTAGAACAAAATTGAAAAGGTAGCTAAAAAAGTGTGTGAAATAAGTCGAAATGCTGATTCCATCCATGAAATCACTCTGAAAGTTCAAAAGTTCCATGAGAAAAACAAAAGATCAAAAGTCCTTGACCAATGTATTGTTTGAATAAAATGAGTATTCACCAGAAATTTTCAGAGCCACCCAACTCGGCTCGTTGCTGCAATTTTTTAACCCTGCATTTGTAAAAAAAATGTGGCTGGAACTACATTATACAGATTTCCGAATGTAGTGTTAGCAGCAATCAGTCAGAAGAAGAGGATTTTGAAGAACTCACGTTTGGGACACCTCCCGATACACAATATCCATATTGTGATGTAGCAATCTAGGTGTCTTCTCGATCATTCTAACATACTTTCGAATCTTATAAACAATGGATATGAGAAAACATAAAGAGTTAAAGGAACTGAAATATTTCATAGACAGGGAAATTATGGGAAAATGGCTGACATTTTACATATTTTTACTATTAACAATCACCAAATTCTGTGTGTGAGTGTGTATGTGTGTGTGTGTCCGGATTTCCCGGGTCAACTGCCCTATCGAAGTCCAGAATGGACCAAAATTTCTCAAATTTTCACAGATGACCCGAAATAGCAGCGAGATGATGCCCGAGTATTTTATACTTCTAAATTTTGTTTCTGATGTCTTCTGGAGACGTTCTTCTATTTCTACAGTGCAAATTTTTAGAAAAATATTGAAGGAATATTCACGTCATTCCCGTCTAACCGCCTAAATTTTTTCTTATCCACGCTATTTCTGAGGGGAAGTTGATTTTCTAGAAATATTCTTTTGGCATGGGTTTTAAAGATTTGAAAGGGAGAAAAAAATCTGAAACAGGGGAAAATAAAGAAAATAAAAGGAAAAAAGGAAAGAAAGAGAATGAGAGGAAAAATAACAGCGCCCTTTCTGGATCACTCGAATTTTCAGAATTCGGAATAATTTTTAAAATTTCCGAACTTAGTTTCATAATTTTCAAACTTCGGAATATATACATTTCTGAGATCTTATTCACCGAATTTGCCGAAAAATTTCAAAGTTTAAGAGTTTCCAACTTTTCAGGTTTTCAAATCTCGGAGTTTCTAAATTTTCGAATTCTCAAATCTAAATTTCTGATTTTTCAAAGTTCCAAAACTTTTCGACTAGAATGTTTTTCGAAAAATCTGACACACCAAATTTCGATATATGAGACAAACAGATTCAAACAATTTTCTAGATTTCAAAATTAATATTTTCCTACATCTGATTTTCTAAAATTTACTAATCTCTGAACTTCCAAGTGTCTTACTTTTCCAATTTCCGGATATCCTTATTTCTGACTTTTCGAATTCTGGAAATTCTGAATAACCGAAATATCAAAATTCGAAATTTCCTAATAGACCATGAAAAAATAGTCCTTGTAAAAAAGACAAAACCTGTCTATAAGATAACGGGTCCTGTTAGCGAGGTTCAGTCCGGATGGGAGCAAGCCGACTGTTTTTCAAAGTTCGAATATTTCGAATTTCAGAATCTTCGGAGACCAGAAATTTCAATAAACCAGGACATTTAGTTATCCAAAATGTGAAGCTTCAGAAAACCGGGAGCTCACATACTCCGGATTTCAGAACATAAAAATATTTTTTCAGTATTGGAAATTTATAAAAATTTGGGAAATCAAATATTCCACAAAGAAAATTGATAGTATGCAAAACTTTCACAAATTTTGGTGAATTCGGAAACTCAAAAATGTTGAAATTAGAAACTCAATTGTAAGGTACAGCAAGCGGAAGCCAGGAGGTTGAGGCCCCTACAGGGGCGTAAACCGACTGGTATAAGGACAAACGAATGCTTTTTCAGAATGCTTTAGGAAGGAATTTTTCAAAATTCTGGAACTGCTCTGACTAATTCTACGCGGCCTCCCGCTAATAGGAAATGCCACTGGAGACCTCGTTTCCTCGATGTGCTTAAAAAATTTTGAGAAGCTGGATTCTTGAAATATGAGATTTCTCAGATGTACTCCTATCCTATTTCTTTTCTTTTACATAATACAAGTTCGTATTCAAAACGGTTGAGAACATGAAAGTAGGAGTTTCAGACGACAGCAACTCTAGATTCAGATGCTCCGATTTCTGATGGGGAACTCAAGAGATTACTTTTTTTCCCTCAATGAGATGATGGAAAATAATAGGGAGCTTTTGATACATCGTCTTAAAATTGATGGTGAATATGGGTTTACGTGTCTTTCGAACTTTTTCGTTTATAGGACGCGAAAATGCCCTCACAAAGTTTTTATAAGAGTCGTGGGATCAAAATCTGAAAGTTGAAGTGAGGACCTTTTGAAAAACCATCAGATCTTAAAATTTATTTCAGTTTGGGTCATCTTTTATGCCTATGTATATTTTGTGTCGTGATCCCGAAACAGATACATTTCATAGAAGAGGAGGAGCAGTTCTGGGAATCAAGGAAAAGAAGAAGAGGGTTGAACCGAATAGATGGGTTACAGTTTTTTATTCGGTGAGTTTAATTTTTTATTATGAACTCTTAACTGCTCTATAAACAGGAAAGAAACATCGGATACTATCTAGATTACTTGAGAGAAATAAGTGAACATGATCTTGAAAAAGAAGACATAATTATGGATTCTGTCTACGAATGTCTACGAAACCCTCATCCAGATATCAAGAAAAATGAAATCCGAGGTTAATTTTCAATTTTTCAAACTTTTATTTATGTATTCTTATTTTTCCAGGTCAAATGGAAACAGACAAAGAAGAACAAATTGCGAAAATCGTAGAGAATCGATGGGATGAAAGACTATAAGGAAGCTTCGAAAGTTTACTGAACTCTTCCTCTTGTTAAATTTTTGTGATAAACATTTTTTGATTCTGAATTTTTACAAAGTATAAAATACTTTTTGTGGGTATTCCAAAGATTTTCTTTCAATAAAGGAAGTGGAAACGCACACTTTTCTCTCATCATGATGTACGAGGGTACAAATGTCTCAAATCTCTCGGTTGTCTTACTGTAGTGGGATTAGACACCCACCTGTCTCCGTTAATTCTTCATGATGAAACAGAAAATTTCTGGAGTTTTTGTGCAAAGAATGAGAAAAAACAATTGAGAAAGAGTTGAAAGATTTTAACGAATAACTTGAGAAAAGGTTTATGATTATTGCTTTTCCCAACTGCCAGGCATCGCGAAAGTGTTGGGTTCGAAAATTGATGATGCAGAAACTGAAAGCATAAATTACACAATTTCAAAATTGGAAATCCTCAAATTCTGAAATCGTAAAATCCAGGAATCCAGAAATCGAAAATTAGGAAATCCGGTAATCCGGAAATTCGAAAATCTAGAATCAAGAATCCTAAAACTCTACAATCCAGGAATTCAGAAATCGGAAACTCTGAAATCCTAAAATCCAGGCATTCAGAAAACGGAAATTCGGAAATCCTGAAATTCTAAAAACCTGAAATTATAAAGTTATAAAGTCCTGAGATAGAAATCCAGAAATTTGGAAATCCAAAAAAAAATCGAAAAGTCGAAAATTCGTTAATCCGGTAATCCGAAACTCCGGAATACGGAAAAACCACAATCCTAATATCCTGAAATCCAGAAATCCAGAAATTCAGAAATTCGAAAAATCGCAAATTCGCAATTCGGAAATCAGGAATACGGAACCCGGAAATCCAGAATCCTAAAATCCGGAAATCCTAAATCAAGAAATTCAGAAATTCGGAAATTCAAAAACCCAGAACCCTGAATCCGGAAACCCAGAACCCTGAATCCGGAAATCCAGAATCCTGAAATTCAGAAATCTAAAAACCCAGGAATTCAAAAACTCGAAAGTTCGAAAATCCGGAAATCAGAAATCAGAAATGTATACTTCCTGTATAAGAGTCTTTGTGTATAGAGGTCGGAAGCTTAACATTCTTCGAATTCAGAACTTCAAAAGAATACTTCAAAGCTTCCAAACATCCAAACTATCACTTTTTCAGAGTGTGGAACGGCCGAAACGCGTTTTTTGGATCTTTTCCGGTTTCTCGTTTCCGGGTCACGTTGATGGCTCTCAGTTTTTTGTAAGCCGGTCTTGAAGGGAGGCCTATATTTTTCATGTTGAAATTTTTCACGAATATTGACCTAAATATGTGTTCCAGTATAAACGAAGTGTGGAATTATTTTTTTGTGGAGCTTTGTATTGGCTGTACGTTTTCTAGTATTGGGTGCTCTCTGAAATTTTGAGATCAATCGGAAAACTTCAGTTGTTTTTTTCCGAACATCGTTTGATCTTTTCGCCCAGGTAAAGCATTTTTCGTTTTCCACAAACCATTCACCACCTTCCAAGCTGTTTTCTTTTGTCTCATTTCGAATTATCGAATCATCACATCATCTACTCTACTTTCTTCTCTGATTTATACACTATTTTCACTTCCAATGTCGTTTTTCGTCTTTTTCTTCGGTTAATGATCGAACTTGGTGGGCAGGAGGACACAAAGAGAATTCTTCGATTCTGTGTCTTCATTTTTTCGTTTCGATTCTCACGAACTGCTGATAAATGGTAAATGATTCGACTTCTGACATATTTTCTATTCTTTCTCGTTTCTTATTCTGAGCAAAGGTTAGTTAAATTCTTCCGTTTTGAAAAAAAATATATTTTAAAAATGACCAAATCGTTCAATTTCTTCAATTATCACAGAAATCACGTTCGTCAAACATCGAATAGAGACAAGATCGAAAAATCAATTGTTTGAGGCCCTACGAAAGCGCGAGAAACAAAAGCGCGAGAAAGGGGCGGGGCTTAACAGTCCGGTGCGGGGCACTGTAAAATTAGCATTCAAGCGGTGCTTTTTCAGTGAATTAATGAATGAAATGACAGATATAGCTGGTGGGAGGGGTTTTCATCGACAGAAGAACTTGTTTCAATTGGAACAATTCTTTTTTAGCTTCATATTCGCGAGCAGCACATTCAGTCTTCTAATCTTTTCGAGTATTCGAGAAAAAAAAATGGATTTTCTTATACTTTTGCACCTCAAGGTCATTCAGAATCATGTATTGAGCTTTGGCGTTTCCGGAATATAAGTCGTTTCTCAGGGAATTTTGGGCAAGCAAACGGCAAGTTGCGAGCCATTTGGCAAGTTGCTGAGCAGAATCAGAAAGTTGCTGGACAAATTAGCAAGTTGCTAGTGCTTGCTGACCATGTTCGAGGAGGGTCGTACATCAGCAAGTTGCCGCATGCATGAAACTTGCTTGACGTTGCTTGCCGTGAAAAAAGCAAGTTGCCGTTCTCTTGCTGCGTTCAGATGGCATTCAAACGGCAACTTGCTCTATAAAATAGCAAGTTGCTGACCCGAAAAAACGGCTTGCCGTTTGTCAGCAAAATTTTCGGGTTAGCAACTTGTCGAAAAATTCCCTGACTCAGATAAATCGGAAAACCTTTCTGAGCTACATTTGAGCAATTCTGAAACCTTTTCAAGCAAAAAGTCCACGATTAAACTTTTTCAAGCCACAATCAAACTTTTCAAACTTTTCTAAGCAACTTGTAAACTTTATCCAGCTGCGCTCGAAACTGAAACTTTTTAAAGCCACAGTTAAACCTTTTTCAGTCAGATTTAAACTTTTCAAACCTTTGTCAGCCTTATTAAAACTTTTTTGGCTTTTCGAAAGATTTATTCTGTTTTTAAAAATTATTTTACCTAATTTTGTTTTATTTTTATCATCTTTCAATTTTTGTTCGTTTCCATATGTTTGAAAGTTGTAAGATGCTTATTTGAGAGAAGATCCAAATCACAAGTTCCTGGAATCATAAGAACTATTGCTCAAGAACTATCATCGAAAAAACGTCATGATGAATCATTGAATGAGAATTCAAACCTGCCGTCAGAACGGAGTAATTTAGCCTACGGTTCGTCAGTTTTAGTAAAAAATGAATTTACCTATCATAATTTCAGACAAGGAGAAACTTCAAACTTCCGAAGCGACAATTTGGAAAATCGTGTTACACCAATATGAGGAAGACTAGATCATGATCGCGATCACATGAACCCGCTCCAAAGACACTATCGAAACTACGTATGAATCAGGAGAGAACGCCTTCCATAACAGTGAGTTGTAGCTCTTAATATCTATTTCTAAAAATTTTAAATATTTCCGGAGGATATGATATTGGGCTGATAACAACGGGGATGCGGTACGATCTGAGGTTCAAAAATGTTTCGAGATCAAGATTCCACTTCAGTTTAAATTTTCTTGTTTTTTTGTTAATTTCTTTTTCTCTAATGAATTTGTTTTCTGAAAATCCGTCTCAAATGAATCAATAGTTTAAACCTTTAGTAGAAACGATAAAACCTTTTAGCAGTAAAACAACTTTTTTAAGCAACGAATAAACCTTTTTAAGTATCAAAAAAACGGAGTTGTTAGAATTCTTCATTTTAACTTCACACTCAGGTAGTTCGGAAAACCTTTCTGAGCCATAAACAAGCCACGATTAAACTAAAAAAGGTGCCCGATTAGCCACGGCTGAAAAAGTTTATAAAGGGCTTAGAATAGTTTCGTTGTTGCTTAGAAAAGTTTATCCATTGCTCGAAAAAGTTTGAAAGTGCTAATAATAGTTTTACTGTTGCTTAAAAAAGTTTACTCGTTGCTTGAAAAAGTTAGAGAAGGTCTTAGAAAAGTTTTTTTGATACTTAAAAAGGTTTATTCGTTGCTTAAAAAAGTTGTTTTACTGCTAAAAGGTTTTATCGTTTCTACTAAAGGTTTAAACTATTGATTCATTTGAGACGGATTTTCAGAAAACAAATTCATTAGAGAAAAAGAAATTAACAAAAAAACAAGAAAATTTAAACTGAAGTGGAATCTTGATCTCGAAACATTTTTGAACCTCAGATCGTACCGCATCCCCGTTGTTATCAGCCCAATATCATATCCTCCTGGAAATATTTAAAATTTTTAGAAATAGATATTAAGAGCTACAACTCACTGTTATGGAAGGCGTTCTCTCCTGATTCATACGTAGTTTCGATAGTGTCTTTGGAGCGGGTTCATGTGATCGCGATCATGATCTAGTCTTCCTCATATTGGTGTAACACGATTTTCCAAATTGTCGCTTCGGAAGTTTGAAGTTTCTCCTTGTCTGAAATTATGATAGGTAAATTCATTTTTTACTAAAACTGACGAACCGTAGGCTAAATTACTCCGTTCTGACGGCAGGTTTGAATTCTCATTCAATGATTCATCATGACGTTTTTTCGATGATAGTTCTTGAGCAATAGTTCTTATGATTCCAGGAACTTGTGATTTGGATCTTCTCTCAAATAAGCATCTTACAACTTTCAAACATATGGAAACGAACAAAAATTGAAAGATGATAAAAATAAAACAAAATTAGGTAAAATAATTTTTAAAAACAGAATAAATCTTTCGAAAAGCCAAAAAAGTTTTAATAAGGCTGACAAAGGTTTGAAAAGTTTAAATCTGACTGAAAAAGGTTTAACTGTGGCTTTAAAAAGTTTCAGTTTCGAGCGCAGCTGGATAAAGTTGCTTAGAAAAGTTTGAAAAGTTTGATTGTGGCTTGAAAAAGTTTAATCGTGGACTTTTTGCTTGAAAAGGTTTCAGAATTGCTCAAATGTAGCTCAGAAAGGTTTTCCGATTTACCTGAGCAGTGAAACGATTCCACTAAAAAATTTGAAACAAGTAATGGAGCATGTCTGACAAAGCAATGAACACATTCACGGGTTACTTATTGCTTGTTTGCTATTTCAATTTTTAGCTCGGAAACGAAAAAAAATATGATACAAACGAAGCAATACATTTTCCCGTCCAACTTTGAGAGTTTCACTATATTTTAAACGTTTTTGTGTGGAATAGCTTGTCTAATGCCTTTACCGACTGTTTACAGTAATTTAATGTTTAAATTTACAAGAAAATCAGCATTTGAACACTACTTTTACAATGCGCCGCACTGGACTGTTAAGCCCCGCCCCTTTCTCGCGCTTTCGTTTCTCGCGCTTTCGTTTCTCGCGTTTTCGTCTCTCGCGCTTTCGTAGGGCCTCAATTGTTTCAACTTTTTACTTATTGTTTTTTTAACTTTTAGAGGACCACCTGGTGTTGCATCGGTTCCTGTTCCACTTTCCAACCCAGTAACACCAGCTCCTATTCGACCACAACCAACTGTCGCTCAAACGACATGGGCTCCACAAGTAGATCAAACGAACACGTGGCAACCATCTCAACAAGAACAGCAACCCCAACAGAGTAATTGGGACCAAGATAATCAGCAACCTCAAGCAGAAAGATGGAATCCGGAATGGCGAGAAAGAGGACCTCCACCCCCACATTGGCGCGATAGAGGACCACCACCTCCGGATTTCGAAGGTTGGCATCATCGGCCACCATGGAGACGGGGTCCGTGGTGGGGAAGACCACCTCCACCATGGGGACCACCTCCTCCTGGACCCCCACCATTCGGTTGGAGAGGATTGTGAAAATTGTACATTGATCAAAATAAAGTTTATAAATACCATACACCGACAAAGATTGGAAGAGAATGAAATCATCAAAAACCTGTGATAACCGAGAAAATTGATAATAAGTTCGTGTTGAGATTCAAGGATAGAGAGATAACAACGATAAAAAAGAAGCGAGAAATTCGTAATTTTAAAATCAGGCCAAAGGAAAATCACAAGCAATGCCGGTTGAATCAAGAGCCGAGTAGATGAAAATGTTTCGGATCGGATCTTTTCCTCCTGTGATTGTCTTGATAGCTTCTTGTCCAATCATACCTCCGACACATGCAGTTGTTGGGCTGAATTCCGGCGAGAAGAGACTGAAAACAGGAATTTGACAAATCCGAATACAACGTTTTTTCTTTAACAGCTAAAAAATGATTTTACTATTAGATTCACTGTCAAAAAATATAGTTTAACCTGTTAACTCTTATGGGGTTATTCAGGGAGTCGGCAAAAAAGGAAAAAAACTCCGCGAAAACTCGGAGAGTGTTCCAATTTGGCTGAAACTTTGGGGAAAATTGGAGAAAACTATAGAAAACATTTTGCCAAAGTTTGGGGTCAAAATATCGACTTTGAAAATTTGTC